TGTTTAGGGAAATAATCTCGCTTTCTTGTGAGAACCATACGAACCCCACGTTGTTGGTAGAATTCACAGTTTCTGTATGTTAATGCAGGTGGTGAATACATTAACCATTGTGCTTTATAGGGCCAATCGTCTTGTTCTAAATGTTCCCAAATTGCCATTCTAAATTATGCCACTAAATTAATCAGAAGATCAAAATTTCACGGCCCTTTTCCATAGTGGTTCATGAAATGTAAATCAGCAAATTCAGGAATACCCAGGCTACTGAGTATTGTTCAGGTCCTGTACCCCGACGTACTAAGCGTTCTCATCTCTCAGGCTGAGGCCACGTGCTCCTTGCAAGGCCCGAGAAGTTTCTGGAAAACTATCTGTATAACGAACAGAAGCATCCACGTTTGTTACTGAGGCTCAGAATGTGGCTACTACTCTACCTTACATTTACGAGGTAGACTCAGTGGATTTGTCACAAACGGATATAAAACGTAAAACATGTAACATTCGAACCTGGAGAAAATATTTATTTCTCGATATATCCTCCACCAACTTTGATACGTTTGTCCCATCGCTTTACCAGTGCGTCAAAACCCGCAGATTATAAATCTTTTGACTGTTGTTTCAACCTCTTCCGCATCTCCGTTTCAAACCTCTTCGTCATCAGCGAAACGTTTTCCACGCCCTTGTGAACCGCTTTACGAGACAAACACTTTCCACCGTAAACAGGAAACATGTCTTTATGAATATCCTTTTGCATTGAGTCCTTTGGCCCACTCCTCCTCCAAGAAAAGCGGACAACAACGCTGCTCTTCGGTAGCATATTCATCAAGCACGGCTGCCATTTTGACTACTGAAACTATCCTCTGAAAATGCGCATGCGCGTCTGCTACGTAGATTGTCATGAAGCTGGTCAATGCTGCTACTTTGTGATACATGTAGGAAACCTATTACTTGCATTACAGCTGTTTTACCTTCATTTGTGACCTATTTACTGACCCTCTCTCCTACTTTGTGAGAAGAGCTTCGTTGTATTTCTCTTCCTGTCATTAGTTCTTCCACTGTAATGGAAATCATAGCTACCAGATAAATTACCATGGGATGTGATGCTGTGAAGTCTGTTAAATTGTTATCGGCATTTCAGAAGAAAATTCTGACTCCGTATATTCTGAAAATGTAATTATCACCTTCCTCCGAAACATCGACAATTATTTTGGTAGCACATTCTTCTGAAACTTCAATTGCGATTCAGTGGGCTGGACGGCAGCAGAGGACTGTAATCCATATTGCCATCGCAGTAAGGATCTGAAATATCATGCAGAAGTAAGGCCGATATTGTGGCATATTTGCTTAAAGCAGGAAATGTGAAGCCAGAGAAACTGCCGTTGCTAGGTAGCCATCAGCGCGCCAGTGGCTTGGCTGAGTAGCGATAACGTGGGAACCCAAATAGACATGAACGCAACGATGCTACAGCAACAGGAATGATGTTCTCTGCATTGTCCGTGCCGAGATGTTATAAAAAAGGGACAAGAGTTTCCGTTAGACTGTTATAATTACCTGTAGTTTCAATCCAAAACCCCGTCGAGAATCACTCCTTCACGTGATAATATTAAAGACCTCACCTGTTAGTGCTTTGGGCCTGTAACCCTATCAGGGCGTATCGGCCCCAGCCCCACATTCAAACTGTGGTCTGCAAGGTTGTCACTGACGTTTCTGAGGAACTTACCGCTGCCGTCTTCTGGATAGCTAAATATGTCTAGAAGGTTTCTACTTCATGGAGGTAATTAGGATCCAGGATTATTAAGAGTTTCTGTGAAAGAACTTCACGTTAGGTGGGTCCCCTGTCAGCACGGCATGGCGCGACCTCAGGTTGCGGATGGAGGAGACGCCCTCCAGATATGGAGGGTAGCTGCGAATATATTGAATAAGCATTCAGCAGTCCTCCAGCTTGGGGGTTGGGCGTGGGGATAACAACTCCTCATCATAAAAAATAAGCTTGTTAGGAAATGTCAAGAAGGGCCTCGGATCTGGCTCTGGATAGGGACGAGTGGAGGGCTCTTGTGAAAACGGTAATAAATCTTCAAGTTTCATAAAATGCTGGGGAATTCTTGAGTAGCTGCACAACTGGCGGCTTCACTAGAGGGCTCATCTCCATGAAGTTAGTTCTGTGAAAGAACCGTAGATTAACAGCTTACCAGGTGGTCATCTCTGTGTTTATATAGTAGTCGAAAAAAAAAAAGATCGCGTTACTGAGTCAGTTCGCCTTACGCTTTGGTCTGCATTTTGTACGATACATTACTGTTGTTCTTTTTAATAATTTTGTGGTTTTTATTCCCTTAATCGTGGCTTATAACCCGAGGAATTCTACAATTATTAGCCGTAAACAAGCAAGAAATATGTGGCAAACAGAGCTTTGTTTGGCCTATTCTTTGAAACTGAAAACATTCCTTCGAAACGTCGGCGGACTCTTTCTAACTACACGGCTTTATGTCCTGGAAGATAATACTTTTCCTAGAATTTACAGGCAAGGATACAATTATCATATATTATGTAGCTTCTATTGCGATAATTGGTTGTAATGTTACGGTAACCATGGAAACAACAGAACGCCGAATATACTGATATACATCTAAATGCTTGTCAGTTGAATGGACGCCGTTCCTTTACAGAGGCCTGTTCATATAGGCACTAATTGTGAATGAAGATTATATAAGCTAACAATTGTAGTTTGATTGGGTTTAATTTGGCGATATACTTTTTATGTTAAAATAAGATATGAAATCACTATCTGAGTATATCTCATTTACTTTTTTTTANGATCGTGGGTTCAAATCCCACTCAGGGCATGGATGTTTGTGTGCGTTTTTCTGTGTTTGTGTACAGGTAGAGGCCTTGCGACGAGCTGATAACCGGCCCAAGGAGTCCTGCCTAATGTGTAAGATCTAGAAAAACCGAAGTGAACGGAGAAGTTCATGGAGGTAGGCCTAGGCCCACTGGGGCTGTAGTGCCAAGGAAAAAAATCGTACCTCTTAGGCCGCGCTATAGCTCAAGCCGTTAGTCGCTCTCTTCCCACAGCGGCGGCCCGGGTTATCCCGGTTCTGGTCAAGTGGGATTTGTGGTGGAAAAGGGGCGCTGGGGCGCGTTTTCTCCGAGTACTTCGGTTTCCCCTGCCAATCTTCATTCCACTAAATTCTCATCATCATAATCACCCGGAGCAGGTACAATAGGCCAATCAGATGCCGCCGTGCCGAGTAGACCCAGTTGGACTCCACCCCACCCCCCACTAAAAAAAACATACCTCTTAATGAGGAGCTTTACAACGTGTACGCTTCTACAAGTGTAATTAGAATGATCAAGTCAAGGAGTATGAGATGATAGGGTATGTAGAACGAACAGGGGAGAAGAGGAATGCATATAAGATTTTGATAGGAAAGCCAGAAGGAAGGGGTCCGCTGGGAAGACCAAAGGGTAGGTGAGTAGACAATATTAAAATGGATCCTAGAGAGATAGGTAGGGACGGTATGGATTGGATCGATCTGGCTCAGGATAGGGACCATTGGAGGGCTCTTGTGAACACGGTAATGAACTTTCGGGTTCCACAAAATTTTGTGAAGTTGTTGAGTAGCTTGCACAGTTGGCACCTTCTCAAGAAGGGCTCAGCCCCATGAGTGAGTGATTAAACATACAAGTATTTCGTGTGTAAAGTGTGAAATTTCCTTGAATGTCTGGTACTCCCTGCAGATGCTCATTTTTGCCCTAAACATGTCTGTATTTTAAGGGTATTTATTTAGTCAGCGCCATAAAACTGAATTAAATATAATTAGATGGTGATTTACACTGATCACGGTGGCCGCGCGGCCTGAGACATGAACTGCCTTCGCTCGCTGGAACGCTGAGATCGTGGGTTCGAATCCCACTCAAGGCATGGATGTCTGTGTGCATTTATTCAGTGTTTGTGTTGTTCTGCGTGTAGATAGCGGCTTTGCGACGGGCTGATCCCCCTTCCAAGGAGTCCTATCGATTGTGTATAGGATTAAGAACCTGGAAAAGCGGCCAAGGTCCAACAACGGGCTGTAGAGCCATGGATTTATTGTGATTTAACAGCTTATTTTAAAATAGGAACTGTAGCTTTTGTGTGTCTAATGATAGTCCACCAAGCGAAAGTATTTCTATCAAAATATGTATAAAATATTAACAGAAATGTATTCCTGTGAATAAACGCTTTGCGGTAGATTCGTGACTGTTATGTACTCTATATTCAGTGTAAGTCCTTAGAACGCAACATTTTTCTGTATTTTTCATTTGCGGATTATTTGACGGCGCTGTTTTGTGGCTTATATTTTACAGCACCAGAAGATTAATGAGCCGGTCACGGTAGCCGAGCGTTCTAAGGCATGAACTGTCTTCGCTCGCTCGGAAGCCGGGATCGTGGATTCGAATACCACTCAGGGCATGGATATTTAGTTTGTGTGTGTGCGTTTTTCTGTGTTTGTGTACAGGTAGAGGCCTTGCGACAAGCTGATCACCCACCCAAGGAGTCCTACCGAACGTGTAAGATCCAGGAATACCGAAGTGAACGGAGAAGTTCATGGAGGTAGGCCTAGGCCTACTGGGGCTGTAGTGTCAAAGGGAGGGGGAAAAAGAAGATTAATGAATAATGAAATATGGTGGGAAGTGGTCGTGGCTTAATTTGGAGTAATATCCTAGTATCTGATTGGAGGAACTGGAAACAATGACAATAAATCACAGTGCGGATAAAGGACCCTCTGTTCAAGAATTGAACTCAAGACCTGCCGCGTACGAAGCACGATTGTGTAACTTGATTACCTATATTCATGTTTTGTGTTTACGTGGAAATACTGGTTGTTCTTTTCGTTTAAATTTGACGAGTATGACAGAATTAAGAACGCGTTGCGATTTTGTTGTCATTTGATCGACTTGCGCCGTTATTGCACTGCGGAAGACAGACATATAATACGGAACTGGGCCGTGTTGCAGCGGTCAGTCAGCGGAGAGCGGCCACAGTGAATAGATCAGAGGGAGCAGCAGATCTTGCCCGACGACAATGAAGTACAAGTTCGCGATCGCAGCTCTAGTGACGGCCACTCTGTACTCTCTCAGCGGTAAGTCAGTCTCAAAGGTCGTGATTCTGTCTTCTGGGATGTGACGCCGTGTAGCTTGGTAGAAATTGATATCTTGCATACAAAAGAAGAAACAAGCAGACTGTTATGCTTGTTGCCTGTTTCATGTCGGGTTCCTGCATGAAGCCAGTACGTTCCTTCGAAACGTCGGTATACTACCAGACTACACAACGTCACATCTTCATAGTTGCCACAGTGAGAGCCTCAAATTCGCAACATATTTTGACTTACTCTTCAGGAATTGTCGTGTGAGTGTGTGGTCTAGATTCAGCTGGCTACGTATAGGGTGGGAAGATTATGCTTTTGTGAACACGGTAATGAACTTTCGGATTGCGCGAAAAGCAAAAAAAGAAATGTATTGATCAGCTAAGACGGAATCAATTTTTTAAGCACTGTGCACTAATGAATTACTGTCTTCTTGAAAGTGACGCCATATAGTGTGGTAGATGTTAACCGACGTTTCGAAGAAACATGCTACATATGTCTCTAGGCTACAAGAGTGAAGCCACGGAAGATTTTACTTTGATTTTCTTGGTTAGAAGGTTTTCGAATCTACGGACATTTGCAGAGTCGCCTCTCAATAGACAATAATATTTCTACCCTGAAGATGGAGGCTGTATGTTCTTCCAAGACGTCGACATATATCTACCGTACAATATCCAGAAGTGGAACATTGTTTATTGCTCAGGCTGTTACTTGCCAACTTCTCACTGTGAGAGCCTCAGTTCCAATAAAATCAATGTGGGATTTCTGGTGTACACAGCTGCAGGTGGGACTGGTTTTAGTCCGAGAACTTCCCCCCCCCACATGAAACATCATTCTAATAATACTCCATACCCAACTGTCATTAGGGGTTGATACTGTCGCGTATCGGGCGTATATCGCGACAAATAAATTCTCGATGTATTCGATGTAGCGAATTTTATTTCACATTCGCACTTACAATCACCCAAATTACAGATTTACGGTTACTGCTATCTGCAGTATCACAATTAGTACACTCCAAAAGCCACAATACAACTGACCTCGGCGACTCTTGCTTTATAACTGACTCGCAGCCACCGTGCAGCTCACTTATATAGCTGCAGTGCTTGCTTGTTGCGTAATGAGTGCCACGTCATCCTGTTAC